TGATGGATCTTCCTATGCAGGCCCGGTTAGCTTATTATTTAGATCTATTTGGGCTTCCCTCGTTGAGAATAGCCCGTTAGCCTGGTCTGGATGTTCTTCTTTATTTGTATTTCCAATGGGTCAGGTCTAGCCCCCCCATTGTGTTATTCACCTGAATAAAACACAGTATTTTTTGCCAAAAAAAAAAAAAAACATTACAAATAATTAATGAAAATAAAGTATTACACCAAAAGTGTGTAATTTCCACAACTAGAACTAATAAAACTAGTTAAAAATACAAACATACATAATAGGAAATTCACCCTATCAAACTCCCCCACACTTAGTTTCTTTACTCGTCCTCGAGTAAAGCCAAATTCTTACAATCTTTCCAAGTCCGATCCTCCATAGTTCAACAATTAACAATAAAGAGCAAAAGACCACCAAGAATAACACATGTGTTTTACATTGAGTTTTAGCTCAAAGAATAACATTTTCTTGGGTTTTATGGCCTTCTATGCTCATCTCTTTTCTTCTCTTCTATTCTTCTTTTCCTTCAAGAGATTAAATGATGCCCTACAAAAAAACAAATATATCTCTCATATCTCTCATTTTGCCTAGGAGCCTTTTCAGGTTTTCATCCTAGCATCTCTTTTTGTTTTTCCATCCTTTCCAAACTCACTCAATTTTTTTTATACGCCATTTTTGCTTAGATTGCCCGTTTTTGGGTTTTCAACCTAACTAGCATTATTATCATTTTTTATTGTTTTTTTTGGAGAAAATAATGCAAGTTACAAGGTAGAAAAATTAAGTACGTACCAATGAGTGACTCCCCCTCACTTAACTCGAAGCACTGTCCCTAGTGCCCGCCATTATCACTTTTTTTTAAGATATAAAGTTGTGGATTGGGAGAGAGGTGGTTGCTTCCAAGAGTTTGTGGATTAGAGGGTATATGGAGCAAGAGGAAAGTGATGAGAACAAGATTCTAATTTTTTTGTGGGGTTTGGTGGAGGATTTGGATAGATTTTGAAGAAAGAGGGATATGGTTAGGAGGTTTGGGGTAATTGAATTGGGTTCGAATTTGGAAAAGGCGAATGGGGTGATTTGTTTTAAAGTGCAAAAATAAAATAAAATAAGTAAACATACCTTGCATGGGTTGCCTCCCAAGAAGCGCCTCGTTTAACGTCGTGGCACGACGCCGTCATTGTGTTCAATCGTTCAAACTCGGATCGTGATAATTTATCTTCTTCACACTTTCACTCCTAGGACTTCCATAGGAATGCTCAATTTCTCGATTCTTCACTTTGGAAATCGTTCCATGATCAAATATCCAAATTTTCATTGATTCATGTGGTGGGAGGAAGGGGAAGAAATTATCGTTCAGCATGGTCAATGAAAAGTTTTTCGATCCTTCAATTTTGAAGAAGATTTCGGAAATGTCATTGTCTTTTTCAAGTTTACGAGTTTCTCTTAAAGCTTCCAGAGATGATGGAGATACCTCAAAGGATGACAATGACAAAAATTCAAATTTGAAGCTCGGCTTATCCTCTTCTTTGACCAGTTGGAGCTCCGTGTCTTTTTCTTCTTCTACTTCTTCTAGATTCTGGATCTCCTTTTGCATTTCCTTTTCATTTGTCAATGTGATTGCAAAAGTTTGCTGTTTAGGATCACATTCTATTTGAGAAGGAAGTTTTTCCGAATCCCTTGCTTCAAGTCTACTCACGACTCCGGCTATTTGAATCATTTGAGTTTCCAAGTTTGAAATACTAGACTTGGTCTCATTTTGGAATTGCACCATGTTGTTCTGCATGGTGGTCATGTTGGTAGCAATAGCCCGAACCATATCCTCCGTAGACATGTTAGAGTTGGAGAACGGATCATACCTCATGTGAGGTACATCCCTTTCGTAACCAACATCATCCATTTGTTCAAGGTATTCATCTTGGAGCTTTGGGCAGAAATCCGTTAGATGCCTGTGAGACATGCAAATGTTGCATGTCTTGGCATCTTGAGCTTTTATGCTTAAGATAAATTCATTTATTAGAGAAGTCAAGAAGGAAATTTGACTCTCTAAGGATGAAATGTTGGTATCCATACACTCATAACTCATGTAAGCTCAGAAAATAAAAGAGTAAGTTTTTTTTTATATATTTTTTTATTATATTTTTTTTGTTTTTGCTTTTTATGAGATAAAATAAAAAGAAAAATAATTGCCTTTCCCCGGCAACGGCGCCAAATTTGACGTGCACTTTGTCGTGTGTGCACTCAAATTAAATTCAATACTAGCACTAATACGTAGTATAGTGAAGTAGAGTTCGTATCCACAGGGAAATGAATAATTCTCTTTTTATGAACTAGTAAATAAAAGGGGGGGGTTGGTATTGTTGGAATTTAATTAATTAAATACTAAGATGAAGAACTTATGTGAGATTTAATTCAAAGATAAAAAGGACTTGGCATTGCTACTTTCCACTTGTTGATATATATTTTAGTCGATCATTGTTATATCTATAACTTATCCCCTCTCGAATACTCAATCGAGGAGTATATCCAATTCATCGAGGGTAGTTATTAACAACGACCGTTCATTAATAACCCTTACTATTAGTCAAGTATAGAACACCGCCATATACCGACTTGATAGTAGCATTTAATCTCTTAACTCATTGATGAAATCAATTGAGATTGATAACCTCAACACAACGGTTTTGGTTTAACCAACAAAATTAATCCCTCTTAAGTTTATTCACCACGACCGTGCATTAATAAACCGAAGTTACTTACTTGTGAAATTATCAACGATTAACCATCGGTTCGTTGAACGTTTCTAGTAGTAATTAATGTTGAGATGTTAACTAATTGTCATCTTAGCAACACTCCCCAACATTAACATAGAGATAGATTAAGGGAAGAATTAATATTCAAGGAAGAAAGTTAAATATGAATAATCCTACTATAACTAATGTCAAGATGTTATCTAATTGTCATCTTAGCAACACTCCCCAACATTAATATATAGAGGAAGAAAATAAATACTACTATAACTAATGTCGAGATGTTAACTAATTGTCATCTTAGCAACACTCCCCAACATTAATATATAGATAGATTAAGAGAATAATTAATATTCAAGGGAAGAAGTTAAGAAAATAACTCACAACTTTAATAATCAACAAGCTTCAAGAGCAACACCAAGAAATGGAAGTTTAGCTCCTCATTTGGAGACTAAACATGCTATAAAAATATAAAAGAAATACTATTCTAAACTGAGCTTAAGAGTATGGAAGAAGGGATGTTTTAATGTGAAGGAAAAGGGGTGTATTTATAGCAAAATAGAGGTGGCAGGGTTCGGTACTCGATCCAGTATATGGGATACTGGACCGAGTATGAGAGGAAATTTCCAGGAAATTGTGAAAAATAGGCATACTCGACCGAGTATTGCCAATACTCGACCGAGTATGCGACAGGATTTTCATCAAATATTCAGCCACGTTCTTTTGCTCCCAGATTTGATTTTGACCAGCGTATCTGGCCAATACTCGACCGAGTATTGGCAATACTCGACCGAGTATTGAACAAATTTCAAGATCTTCATTTGATCTTCTCCTTTTTGCACATTCTTTGGTCTTTAGGATCCATCCTTTGATTCTTGGGATGATTTTGACCTATCCTAAGCTCAATATAATCCTAATCTAAATACATTACAAATAATTAATGAAAATAAAGTATTACACCAAAAGTGTGTAATTTCCACAACTAGAACTAATAAAACTAGTTAAAAATACAAACATACATAATAGGAAATTCACCCTATCAGATTCCCTCAACGGCTAGGTGTCCCTCAACGAAAAAGCTACATGATAGCATTTAATGCTCATTTAATGAGCCCTATACTCTGAAGAGTTAAAGCTGATGATTGACCGAGATTCCTGGAAAGTCTACCCCCAAAATAGCAAGCCGTCAACCTTGCGGGCCCAACCGGTCAACTCAACAGTACACGCATTCAATGCAGTTGTCTCCTCCTCCAACGGGAAGACAACCCTAGTATAAAAGATACTTGATGAAGAACAACCGGATAACTTTTGCTCTCTCTACAACCTTCAAAAGCTTTCTTGAGATTCAAACTCCATCTCTAAAAACAAGAAAAAGCTTACGTTGGAAAGATCATAATCTCATATATTCTTCTACTCCAACAAGAGCAAAGTTCCTCCAGTTCTTCAACACTTCAAGCACTTCAACTACAAACTCTTTGTGACGAAGCAAGTTGGCTAAAACTCTGTTTTCACAAACATCTTCTGTTAAAGAAGGGCGTCTTAAAGTAACTGGAGTAAGTGAAGTGGTGATACTTTAAGGAGACTCAGTGAAACAAGATCAGTCTTAAAGGAAACAAGGAAGTGCATCCCAGGAGACATCTACACTTGAAGAAGACGTGAACAACTTCTTAAGTGCTAGGACTTAAGTGTTGAAATTGGTTTATTCCAAGCTTAGTGGAACAGTGGATTAGAGGAACACGTTGTTCCTTGAACCACTATAAAAATCCCTGGTGTCATTTACTTACTGCTTTTTATCTACTTTCAGTTGAACTGCTTAACTCCACAGAAGTGGTATCTGTGTTCAGCAGAACACCTCTTGTGAGTTAACAGAAGGCCTTGTAACACCCCGATTTTAGCGATCTAGTTACTTTAATCTTTTATTTTATTTAGTCAGTTAAATAAGATTATTGTATGAATAATGTGATTTATTGTTTGATCATGTGTTTTTCTGGCAGGTAACGTTGACTGGTAAGCTCTAATAATTTTAAGTGGAGAAAATAAGTAATGTTTTAAAGTTTAATCAGTTGATTTCGAAATAGAAAATACTTTTAATGTGCTAGATTTCTTTTTTTAAGAGGTCATTAGAAGCCCAATTCAGTTAATTTGGCCCAGATAAATGTGTTTAGGGCTGAAATCCCTAGGAAGACAAAATAGAATATATAACCACCGTAAACCTTTGAGGATCGGCTCTTTTCCTTAGCTGCTACCGGCCGTTTCTTTCATCCTGGAATCTTTCTTTCCAACTCTCAAATTGTTGGCCAAAGATTTAATCAGATTGTCGTTCTGCATCCTTTAACAAGGTAAGCTGAATTCCTTTTCCTCTGTTAAATTACCTCCGTCTCTTCTTTTCTCTTTGAACTCTTAGATTCTTCCTCCCAGAATCATTCAGATTATAACATCTTCAATCAGCTATGATTATTTCTTTCTCTGTAATCGTTCTTCCTTACCTCTGTGAGTATAGATGATGGTGGCTGAGTTTTTTTTTTTTTTTTTTTGCTATTATAGTTTGATTAGAGGCATTTTAAACAGAGATGCGAATTTTTGCAAAATTAATCATTAGTTTAAAATTTTATCTGCAGCCTATTCTTCCACTACGTGATTTTATGATTTAGCAGATTTTATCCTTATTTTGGAATCAGCATTTAACACCTTAGTGTTTTAATTCAAATTTTGACTTTAAAGGGGCTGGTTAGTTCGGGTGTTAAACTAAACTTTAGTTTAGTAAACTTCCATCAGTTAATATGAAGTAGCCGTCCAGCAGTCAGTATTTAATATAGAAAATTTTAGTTTGTTATTAATTGAGAAAGTTTCAGTTTGGAGTTGATATGGAGAGTTTTCAGTTTTTGGTTTAATTTAGGTTGCACCAGTCTGTAAACTACATAAGCAACGTGATTTCTGAGATGGTGCACCTGCGCACATAGTGATAATTTTTATTTGATCTTAGCAGTAAGAAAGGATTTTCTTCCTCCAGTAAATTCTAATTATATTGTATATTTAAGTTGAGAGTTTTAAGAAGAGCTTACCGGAGGACGTTATCAAGGTGCCGCACTTATTTGAGTAATTTGAGTTCAGCTCCTAACAGGTAAGTTCACTACCACCTGTACATGTTTGTTCAACCAAATGCAAGAAAGAAGTCTGGTTGATTTTTAATAGATAATTTTAGACTATTTGCTATTATGTGAACTATGTGAATTATGTGATGAGTTATGTTATTTGCTGGATTAAATTATGTTTATTATCTGGCATAATCAAGATTTGTCAGTACTTTTGTTTCAGAATAAATGATATTTTTAGTCAAACGTCACCATAAAAAGAACTAATATTTAAAGTGAAAGATCAGGTGATATGTACTCGGGAACAAGTTCCCTCAGTTTATCAGTTATCAGCTTATCAGTTTCAGAGAGTCCGATATGTTTAGTGGGTCGCTCCCCTGAGCTGTCGGATTGGCGCCTTTTGAGTACATATCACGGGCCCACAGTTAAAATTAGCCACAAAGAGTTTACAGAAAGTTGTTTTGAGATCTCTTTCAGAAAGTTTTACAGAAAGTTGTTTATGAGATCTCTTCAGAAAGTTTTACAGAAAGTTGGTTATTAAGATCTCTTTCAGAGTTTTACAGAGATGTTTTTCTGAAATAAATTTTGAGATCTCTAGCAGTTTTGAGAAAATATTTTAGGAAATGTTTTCCCTTTGAGATCTCCCTCAGAATGTATTTGAGAAGTTATGTGTTAGTTATTTGTTCAGTGCGTGCTTATAGCCTAAATTTATCTATTGATAAATTGGCATAGACTTCTAGATATTTTTGTGGATCTATAGTGACTTACTAAGCGTAAAGCTTATCAGTTTCTTTCTTCGCATGTACAGATACTAAAGGTAAGGCCAAGGCCTAGGAAGGTGATGAGAGAGTGGAACGCGTGCCAAGACGAGTTACGGGGACGACCTTGGCGGCTTCCAGCTAGCTATTATTATATTTCAGTATTTCAGTATTTCAGTTCTTATAGTTAAGAGATTGTTATTACTTTATTTTATTTTATTTGAGGATTCGAGTTTGAATAAATTCCTGGATCCAGGTGGTTATCACATTTGCTAGTGATAACTAGACTTTATTGAGTTTTTATTTGGAGTTAAATTTTAGCTACATTTGAGATTTTATCAGGGTTATTTCTTAAACAAACGGCCGTTATATTGCAGTTTATTTTTAAAAGTAGTATGCTAGTGTAGCGTTCCCTTTAACCCTGAGAGGGGCGTTACATGTTTGGTATCAGAGCCTAGGTTGTCCCGTAACTTCATCTGTCACCGTACACGTGCTCATCATCTTCCAAGTAAGTATTTTAAGTTAAGTTTTAAATTTCTGTACATGAGTAAGAAGAATTTATTAGATAGAAAGCAGTAGTGAGAATGTTTTGTTTTTTTTTTAGTATTGTGTATGGCACATAAATAAAAGTTTATATTTAGGTGCCTTACGAAAATGAGGAGAACCCGTGGTCGTCCAGTAGGTGGCAGCAATGCTCAAGGAAGCAGTAATGAGCAAGGAAACAATCACGAGCAAGATTTGGCAGGTATTGTAGCGCAACTTCAAAGGCAATTGCAGGAGCAGCAACAAACTATTGACCGATTGACCGCGAACAATCAAAGGGGCGGTGGTGAAGGAGGAAATGCTGGAGATAATCAAGCTAGGGGGAATGGAGCACCGAGGCGAGAACCACTAATGATAACTTGGAGGAAGATCAAGCCCGCAGATTTTGAGGGGGGTCCCGACCCTCTAGCTGCTCAGGGATGGCTGAAGACCATTGAAGGCATTGCTAATGGTTTGGAATTAGCAGATAATGACAAGGTTCGATGCGCGTCTTATAGCCTCACCATGGATGCTCGAATATGGTGGGAGACTGTGGAAACAAGGTATAACGTTGCGCAGATGACATGGGAGCAGTTCAAAGAGGAGTTCACCAACCAGTATTTCAATGCTAGTGTCACACGTAAGTACCAGGATGAGCTTCAGAATCTACGTCAGGGAACCATGGATGTAGCAACCTTGGCGGCACAATTTCAGAGACTACTACGTATTTGCCCTACAGCTGCTCCGACAGAGAGGGATAAGGTGAAGTTGTTCCTGAAAGCCCTTAGGAAGGATATAGCAGTTCACTTGGAGAACGGTAACCAGACCCCAGCTACATTAGTTGACTGTGTCCTTATAGCGAGTCAAAAGGAGTACTACCTCCCTACCGATCCAGTGCCCGCTCAGCCGCAACATGTGCCTTTACAGTCGCAGAATCAACCACAGGGATACACGAACAATTCAAAGAATAACAAGAAGAGAAGCTTTAAGGGCAGTGATGGCAAGGGAGTTGGACGTCATCAGGAGCGACAAAATAAACAGATGAAGTTTCCGCAGTGTGCGAATTGTGGCCGTAATCATCCAGGCCAATGCAGATTGGGTTCGAGAGCTTGCTTCACTTGTGGCCTTGAGGGACATATGTTCAAAGATTGTCCAAGAAAGAATCAGCAAGGCTACCAGATCACTCAGATGCCGAGGAATCCAGCACCTTCAGCGGTTGTCCATAATATGCAGGCTTATCTAGAAGGACCATCCATCCAGCAAGGACGTCTTGAAGCACCACCAGAGGCCCCGGTTGCTAGAGTGTTCACAATCTCAAGGGAAGAGGCATCGATAAATCCTGGCGTGGTCACAGGTCAGATACTTGTTCTTAGTAGATATGCTAATGTGTTATTTGACACTGGAGCTACGCATTCCTTTGTGTCTCTTGAGTTTGCTAGACCCTTAGCAGTACATCAAGATAAGTTAGATTATCAGTTCACCACAGCACTTCCGTCAGGAGATATCATGTTGTCGACTCATTGGCTACGAGCAGTGTCAATGAGTGTTGCGGGAAGAGAGTTATTTGTAGATCTGATTGTGCTCAACATGAAGGATTATGATGTGATTCTCGGCATGGATTTTCTGCAGAAGTATAACGCTTCAATTATATGCCGAAAGAGAATTGTTAGTTTTGCGCCTGCAGGGTCTGATCCTTTCTTATTTCTTGGGGAACCAAAAAGATCAAGGAAGGTGATGATTTCTGCATTGCAAGCAAGGAGACTTATTCGGGGTGGATGTGAAGCTTTCTTAGCTCATGTAGTAGGCAAAAACTCAGGGGAACCCATGCAGCTTTCTGAAGTTCCTGTTGTGGAAGGTTACAGTGATGTATTCCCCGAAGATCTCTCAGGATTACCACCCAGTAGAGAGATTGAGTTCGAGATTGAGCTGCTGCCCGGTACCGCACCGATATCTAGAGTACCATATCGAATGGCCCCAGCGGAGTTGCAAGAACTCCATAAGCAGTTGCAGGAGTTGCTAGAGAAGGGTTTCATTCGGCCCAGCTACTCGCCCTGGGGAGCTCCAGTATTATTCGTGAAGAAGAAGGATGGCACAATGAGGTTGTGCATAGATTACAGAGAACTCAATAAAGTGACTATCAAGAATAGGTATCCCCTGCCTAGAATTGATGACCTGTTTGACCAGTTGAAGGGAGCAGTGATTTTCTCCAAGATTGACCTTCGTTCAGGGTATCATCAGCTAAGAATCAAAGAAGGAGACATCCCAAAAACAGCTTTCAGGTCGCGGTATGGACACTATGAATTTGTGGTTATGCCGTTCGGCCTAACTAATGCTCCGGCGGCGTTTATGGATCTGATGAATAGAGTGTTCCGGGAGCTTCTTGACAAGTTTGTCATTGTTTTCATTGATGATATTTTGATCTACTCAAAGTCTAAGGAGGAGCATGAAGAACACTTGAGAGAAGTATTGGAGACACTGAGGAAACATAAGCTATATGCTAAGTTTTCAAAGTGTGAGTTCTGGCTTGACCAAGTAGCATTCCTTGGCCACGTAGTTTCAAAGCAAGGAGTTTCGGTGGATCCCTCAAAGGTAGCGGCTGTTCGAGATTGGAGCAGGCCAAAGAATGCGAAAGAAGTTCGAAGTTTCTTAGGCCTTGCGGGGTATTATAGGAAGTTTGTGGAAGGCTTCTCTGCTATAGCTCTTCCATTGACAACCTTGACCCGTAAGGGTAAGAAGTTTGAGTGGACTGATCGTTGTGAGAAGAGTTTCCAAGAGCTGAAAAATAGGTTGACATCTGCACCCGTCTTAGCACTCCCAGAAGGCAAGGAAAGGTTTGTTATCTACACAGACGCATCGAAGATGGGACTTGGAGCAGTTCTTATGCAGAATGAACGCGTTATTGCGTATGCATCTCGACAACTCAAGGAGCATGAGGCAAATTATCCCACCCATGACTTGGAGTTAGCAGCGGTGATTCATGCCTTGAAGATTTGGAGACATTACTTGTATGGAGTCCAGTGCAAGATCTTCACTGATCATAAAAGTTTAAAATATATATTCACGCAGAAGGACCTCAACATGAGGCAAAGAAGGTGGCTTGAGCTAGTGAAAGACTACGATTGTGAGATCCTTTATCACCCGGGAAAAGCCAACAAGGTAGCAGATGCACTTAGCAGAAAGTCTTCTGCAACAGTAATGGTTATGATGGTAATGGATCCAAAGTTGAGAAAGGAAATTGAAGATTTTGAGTTAGAGATTGTAAATGGGCGTTACATGTTTGGTATCAGAGCTATAAAACAAGAACTTGATCCCGAGTTAGTTAAGTTGAAGGAGTGCGTCAAGGAGGGAAAATGTCCCGAATTCCGTTTGGATGAGAGTGGGAGATTATTACTTCAAAACAGATTGTGCATTCCAGACGTCGAGGGATTGAGGAAGCAGATTATGAAGGAGGCTCATGACACACCATTCACTATGCATCCTGGTTCGACCAAGATGTACCATGACTTGAAGAAAAACTTTTGGTGGTCAGGTATGAAGAAAGATGTTGCGAAGTTCGTCCAATCATGTCTGACGTGTCAACAAGTAAAGGCTGAACATCAAAGACCAGGTGGAGAGCTTCAGCCTATCCAGATTCCAGAGTGGAAATGGGATGAGATATCCATGGACTTTATTATGGGTTTGCCGAAGACAACGGGAGGTTATGACGCTATATGGGTTATAGTGGATAGATTGACTAAATCTGCTCATTTTATCCCAATTTCAGCAAGTATATCTTTGGAAAAGTTGGCAAAGTTATATATTCAGGAGATTGTGAGACTGCATGGTGTCCCGAAGAGTATTATTTCTGACAGAGATTCCAGATTTACCTCTCACTTTTGGAAGTGCGTACAACAATCATTGGGCACAAAGTTGAAGTTTAGTACTGCTTTTCATCCTCAGACCGATGGTCAGACAGAGAGGACAAACCAGATTTTGGAGGATATGCTGCGGGCATGTGCACTAGATTTTCAAGGAGGATGGGTGAAATACCTAAGTCTGGCGGAGTTTGCTTATAATAATAGTTATCAAGCAACCATCGACATGGCTCCATATGAGGCGTTGTATGGGAGAAGGTGTAGATCTCCCATATCATGGTGTGAAACAGGAGAGAAGAAGATCCTAGAAGAGGAACTGCAAGGGAGGACTGAGTTGATAGATGAGACCTCAGAAGCTATTAAAACTATCCGGCAAAGGATAGAATCTGCCCAGTGCAGACAGAAAAGTTATGCAGATGTTCGGAGAAGGCCTCTAGAGTTTGAAGTGGGGGATTTTGTTTTCGTTAAAATAGCCCCGATGAAGGGAGTGATGCGGTTTGGAAAGAAAGGAAAGCTTAGCCCAAGATTCACCGGACCATATGAGATCACTAGACGAGTGGGGAAAGTAGCTTACGAGCTCGCGCTACCTGAAGAGTTTTCTGGCATTCATAATGTTTTCCATGTTTCGATGTTGAGGAAATACTTTGCTGATCCGGAGCATGTTTTGATACCACCATCAATAGAAGTGCAAAATGATTTGTCTTACGAGGAGAAGCCAGTACAAATTCTTGACCGAGAGGTTAGACGTCTCCGGAATAAGGAGATAGCTTTAGTAAAAGTGTTGTGGCGAAATGACAAAGTAGAAGAGGCGACTTGGGAAGCTGAGGACGACATGAAACGTCGTTATCCCGAATTGTTCTAAGTTTCGAGGACGAAACTTTTATAAGGTGGGAGGGGTTGTAACACCCCGATTTTAGCGATCTAGTTACTTTAATCTTTTATTTTATTTAGTCAGTTAAATAAGATTATTGTATGAATAATGTGATTTATTGTTTGATCATGTGTTTTTCTGGCAGGTAACGTTGACTGGTAAGCTCTAATAATTTTAAGTGGAGAAAATAAGTAATGTTTTAAAGTTTAATCAGTTGATTTCGAAATAGAAAATACTTTTAATGTGCTAGATTTCTTTTTTTAAGAGGTCATTAGAAGCCCAATTCAGTTAATTTGGCCCAGATAAATGTGTTTAGGGCTGAAATCCCTAGGAAGACAAAATAGAATATATAACCACCGTAAACCTTTGAGGATCGGCTCTTTTCCTTAGCTGCTACCGGCCGTTTCTTTCATCCTGGAATCTTTCTTTCCAACTCTCAAATTGTTGGCCAAAGATTTAATCAGATTGTCGTTCTGCATCCTTTAACAAGGTAAGCTGAATTCCTTTTCCTCTGTTAAATTACCTCCGTCTCTTCTTTTCTCTTTGAACTCTTAGATTCTTCCTCCCAGAATCATTCAGATTATAACATCTTCAATCAGCTATGATTATTTCTTTCTCTGTAATCGTTCTTCCTTACCTCTGTGAGTATAGATGATGGTGGCTGAGTTTTTTTTTTTTTTTTTTTTTTGCTATTATAGTTTGATTAGAGGCATTTTAAACAGAGATGCGAATTTTTGCAAAATTAATCATTAGTTTAAAATTTTATCTGCAGCCTATTCTTCCACTACGTGATTTTATGATTTAGCAGATTTTATCCTTATTTTGGAATCAGCATTTAACACCTTAGTGTTTTAATTCAAATTTTGACTTTAAAGGGGCTGGTTAGTTCGGGTGTTAAACTAAACTTTAGTTTAGTAAACTTCCATCAGTTAATATGAAGTAGCCGTCCAGCAGTCAGTATTTAATATAGAAAATTTTAGTTTGTTATTAATTGAGAAAGTTTCAGTTTGGAGTTGATATGGAGAGTTTTCAGTTTTTGGTTTAATTTAGGTTGCACCAGTCTGTAAACTACATAAGCAACGTGATTTCTGAGATGGTGCACCTGCGCACATAGTGATAATTTTTATTTGATCTTAGCAGTAAGAAAGGATTTTCTTCCTCCAGTAAATTCTAATTATATTGTATATTTAAGTTGAGAGTTTTAAGAAGAGCTTACCGGAGGACGTTATCAAGGTGCCGCACTTATTTGAGTAATTTGAGTTCAGCTCCTAACAGGTAAGTTCACTACCACCTGTACATGTTTGTTCAACCAAATGCAAGAAAGAAGTCTGGTTGATTTTTAATAGATAATTTTAGACTATTTGCTATTATGTGAACTATGTGAATTATGTGATGAGTTATGTTATTTGCTGGATTAAATTATGTTTATTATCTGGCATAATCAAGATTTGTCAGTACTTTTGTTTCAGAATAAATGATATTTTTAGTCAAACGTCACCATAAAAAGAACTAATATTTAAAGTGAAAGATCAGGTGATATGTACTCGGGAACAAGTTCCCTCAGTTTATCAGTTATCAGCTTATCAGTTTCAGAGAGTCCGATATGTTTAGTGGGTCGCTCCCCTGAGCTGTCGGATTGGCGCCTTTTGAGTACATATCACGGGCCCACAGTTAAAATTAGCCACAAAGAGTTTACAGAAAGTTGTTTTGAGATCTCTTTCAGAAAGTTTTACAGAAAGTTGTTTATGAGATCTCTTCAGAAAGTTTTACAGAAAGTTGGTTATTAAGATCTCTTTCAGAGTTTTACAGAGATGTTTTTCTGAAATAAATTTTGAGATCTCTAGCAGTTTTGAGAAAATATTTTAGGAAATGTTTTCCCTTTGAGATCTCCCTCAGAATGTATTTGAGAAGTTATGTGTTAGTTATTTGTTCAGTGCGTGCTTATAGCCTAAATTTATCTATTGATAAATTGGCATAGACTTCTAGATATTTTTGTGGATCTATAGTGACTTACTAAGCGTAAAGCTTATCAGTTTCTTTCTTCGCATGTACAGATACTAAAGGTAAGGCCAAGGCCTAGGAAGGTGATGAGAGAGTGGAACGCGTGCCAAGACGAGTTACGGGGACGACCTTGGCGGCTTCCAGCTAGCTATTATTATATTTCAGTATTTCAGTATTTCAGTTCTTATAGTTAAGAGATTGTTATTACTTTATTTTATTTTATTTGAGGATTCGAGTTTGAATAAATTCCTGGATCCAGGTGGTTATCACATTTGCTAGTGATAACTAGACTTTATTGAGTTTTTATTTGGAGTTAAATTTTAGCTACATTTGAGATTTTATCAGGGTTATTTCTTAAACAAACGGCCGTTATATTGCAGTTTATTTTTAAAAGTAGTATGCTAGTGTAGCGTTCCCTTTAACCCTGAGAGGGGCGTTACAGGCCTAGTGCCTTTGCATCTCTGTGAGGCTATCCCGACAGAACACCTACCAGAAGACCATCCGCTGCCAGTCTGTTCTCAACAGAACAAGCTATTCTGTTAACCTTGGTACTTAGCTTGAAAAAGTTAAAAACCATAACAGTCTATTCACCCCCCCTCTAGACTGTTACCTTGACAATCAGGACCAACAATAATCAAAGTAGTTCTATTTGATTTTGTCTTTCTAAACATGAAAGCTTCTATTGGTTTCAATTCAATTTTGGACTTCTCATTTTCTCAAATGATTAAAAATTTATACAATTGATTGAAAAAAGCTGAATGTTAGTCGATCCCAAATTCGGTTGGGATTAAGGCTTTGATGTTGTGGTTCTAACTTGCTTATTTTATTCATATTTTATCAATTCAACATATACATAAATTTACCTTTTTTGAATTTTACTTTTCTTGGTAACCAAGGTTATATCAATGTTGGGGGGGCGGGGGTACTATGAATGAACTACAAGAAAATAAAAAATAGAAATGAGAGAAGGAATAATTAAGGTAAAATGCTCATAAAAACTTCCTTAAATATAAGAGGAAGATAAAATATAGGGAGAACTACAAAATAAGCCCTTGAACTTACATAAAAAGTGCAAATCACCTCTTATATAAGAGGCTCTGTCCGGCCGTTGCCATTTGGGGCGGTTCCCGGGGAATTTTTTAATGAATTTTTTGAGCATCTTATTCATTATGTCTAGTTTACTCATACCAAATTTAAGCTAAAAATTCAACCTGAAAGGTAGCCAAAATGCCAAATGATTTTCTGAAATATACTGCGGTGTTTAACCGCACAATCATCTTCAAAAATCATTTGACTTCCTTCCTAATTGAATTTTTAGCTGAAATTTTGTGTGAGTAAACTAAACTTAATGAATAAGATGCTCAAAAAATTTAAGCTAAAAATTCAACCGGGAACCGCCCCAAATGGCGACGGCCGGACAATGCCTCCTATATAAGGGGTGATTTGCACTTTGTAAGTTCAAGGGCTTATTCGATAGTTCCCCTTAAAATATAAGATAAACAGGGTAAAAAGAATATACATATAATAGGCTGGGTACTCCTTCAGAACGCTCGCCGTTACCCTCTAGGTAGGGTTTTCTTCCTTCTGCCGATGGTGCGGCTCTTTGATTCAAACGAAGGTCTGTCGCAAGAAGCTTTGACAGGGACAAGACTTTGGCGACGGTTGGAGACTTGGTGCACGATCTTTCTATTTTTTTGACTTCAAAAACTTTCTTTCTCTCTCTTGTCGAGATCTGTGGTTTTTCTCTGGCGTGTCGAGAGCGGTGCAATGCCGCACTTCTGTGGATCGTATTTTTCTTTTTCATTTTGATCAGGTTCAAGAAAGGATAATCATAACTTTTATGGATGATCTAGACCAGCGTTGTCCCATTCTAGCAATTGAGGAGGAGGTTGAAGGATTGTTTTTTGGCGGATCAACATGGGTGGAGAGTGGTGGAGGCAGCACGAGTGACTAACAAACGGGGAGCGGTAAAGGGCTGAGCAAAGGAGAAGATAGATTGAGGGTCCGCCCCCCTTTTGAACCGCTGCCTTGGAGCGATCGAGGTGTCAGAGTTTGGAAGATGATATTTCAATAAAATTGCAGGAAGGAGTTTGGAATATTTATGAGTTATTTTATTCTTTATGCTCTATCGCATTATGTTTGTTTAAGTTGCTATGTTTTTCGTTGATGTCTTCAGTTTTAGTTCTACAATAATGATTAACAATTCTGCTAGATATTACTCCCTCCGTCCCAAAAACAACTTCCCACTTTCCTTAAATGGATGTCCCAAAATTAACTTCACACTTCAATATTTTCCTTATTTGGCAAATTATCTACATAAAAAAAGTGATAAACAGTGCCAAACAATGTTTAAACAGTGCCAAACAGTGTTTAAACAGTGCCAAACAGTGTTTAAACAGTGCAAAACAGTGCACTTTACAGTAAAGTCAAATTTATTTTCTAAAAGTGTGTGAAAGTCCAACTGTGAAGTTGTTTTCGGGACGGAGGGAGTATATCATTAGAAGGATCTATATGCCAAGTGATTGTTGCACCACGCCCATTTGGTGGTTAGCGATTCATATTGCTCTTTCAGAGGTGATCGTTTCTAAGTCTAGCCGTATGGTTGATAGTGCTATTTGGTTTCAGATAGTTGTTGTCGGTGTTGGCCTTTTTGAGTTTGTTGTAACGATATGAATCCTAATGATATTAGTATACGAAAGATAAAGAAGATAAAAGATAAAAGAAAAAAAAGATGAAAAAGATCAATCCTCTACATGAATTCCATCTGAGGGTAGAGTTATCTTGAGTAGAAATGTTGTCTTTGATGAGAACTCTATGATTAACCCTACCGTGAAGTATATTATTATGTCAGAAAGCAGTAGTGTTGATAAACAGGTGGAGCAAGAAATCCCCTTTGATAAGGGTGAACCACAACAAAAAAATCAACCACTGCAGTCTAAATATGTGAGCGGTCAATCAGGCCCAATTTTGGAAAGCCTCCGAACAGATTTGGTCGTGAAGACAATATGGTGGGTTTTGCACTTTCGGTTGCTGAAGAGGTGGATCCATTTTCTACTGAACCATCCACCTACCAAGTTGCAGTTACTAGTACCGAGTCATCCAAATGGCTAGGTGCAATGGGAGATGAGATTGAGTCACTTCAAAAGAACCAGACCTGGGAATTGACCAAGAGACCGAGGGGCAAGAAGATTTTTTACATGCAAATGGGTTTTCAAAAAAAATGAAGGGGAAACAGAGGTTGAAGGGGTTAAGTATAAAGCTTGAGTCGTATCTAGGGGGTTCACACAGAGAGAGGGTGTAGAGTATAATGAGATCATCTCACCGGTGGTCAGACATACTCCCATCAGGGTGTCACTAGCGATAGTTGACATTAGGATCTATAGCCCGAACAACTAGATGTTAAACATCTTTCTTACATGGAGAGTTGGGATAAGAGATATACTTGACCCAACCAGAAGGATCTTAAGACCCTGGAAAAGAAGATTATGTTTCCAGGATGAAAAAGTCCTTATATGGGCTAAAACAGTCTCCCATCCAGACAATGGTATAAGCGGTTTGATAGCTATATGATGTAGATCGGCTATAGAAGATGCCCGTATGATTGTTTTTATTACTGTAAGGCTGCAAATGATTCTTTCATTTATCTAGTCCTGTATGTCAATGATATTCTTATAGCTGCAGAGATGAATTTTGATGTTCAGAAGTTGAAGGGTCTCCTCAATAGTGAGTTTGAATTGAAAGATTTAGGTGCAACGAAGAAAATTCTGGGAATGGAGATCTACATGGATAGAAGAAAGAAGAAGCTTTTCTTATCACATAAAGGCTATATTCAGAAAGAATTGTCCAAGTTTGGCATGTCTACAACTAAATTGATACATACTTCTAATGCATCAAATGCACATCTATATGTTGTTTTTGCTCTTAAATCAACCGAAGAAAGGGCATATATGTCTCGGGTTCCTTATGCTAATGTAGTAGGAAGTTTGATGTATGCTATGGTTTGTACTAGACCTGATCTAGCACACTCTGTTAGTGTGGTGAGTCGGTTCATGGGTGATCCAGGTAAAGAACATTGGCAAGCTGTGAAGAGGATCTTCCGGTACCTTAAGGGTACATATGATGTTGGTCTCATTTATGGGGGTGATAGAAGATACAGAGTGTTGAGTGTCTTGGTATTCTCACTCGGATTATGTTAGAGATGTGGACAATAGAAGATCAATGGTTGGTTATGTTTTCACTCTTGGTGGTTCGATTGTTAGTTGGAAGGCTACTTTGCAGCCTACAGTAACATTGTCTACAACAGAAGATGAGTATATGGCATTGACTGCAGCAGCTAAAGAGGGAATGTTGTTGAAAGGATTGATTAATGATCTGGGTCTACATCAAGATCAAACTATTGTGTATTGTGATAGTCTTAGTTCAATTTGTTTGGCTAAGGATCAAGTACATCATGAGAGAACTAAACATATTGACGTTAGATCTCATTTCCTAAGGAATGAGAAGAGAATAATTAAGGGTGAACGAAGCAGGTATTGTAGATAACTCAGCTGATATGTTTACCAAGCCAATTTCACAGAGCAAGTTCCAACACTATTTGGACTTGCTAAATATTAAGAGCAAGTCTATGTGGTGCATTTGACATCTATGTAGTGCATCTCGTACATCTGTTTGATTGTGAGTGGATTCAAGTCACGGTGGAGATTTGTTGGATTTATGCCTTAAATTTGTTTAGTCACCTCTTTGGGCTAGGATTCTACTTTGGGCCTATTCTATTGTTTTGAGCCTCTTCTAGGTTCTCTGTATTAGGTCTTAGAGAGTACAGAGTACTGTATAAACTCTCTAAGACTAACCTGACAGCCAATGAAATATACAACTTTGAATCTGTAATTTGAAACTTCTCAAACTAACATCAATAAAACTCTTCTCTCTTCTTCCCTGTGGATGTAGCTAACACACCGTTAGTGAACCACATAAATTTGTGTGTTGTTTTCTTTATCTTATATATTTGTCTTCCTCGTTTATGTTACAACATATATAATCATCGTGCACTTGCAAGGGCAATTCAACTCCGGGCACAAATTTAACAATGGACACAACACTTCAATATTCCACGAAAGAGGATCCTATCGGAGGCTAAATAAAGCTAAATTTTCTATAATGAAGTCAGATAAAATCTAACAAATAATGACAGGATGCCACATATGATTAGGTAACAGATAGATGTAGCTCGATCCAGACTTATTGATCTATATTCCTAACCCGGTAACCCCGGGCATTACTAGGTAATCCACTAATTAACATGAATCAGATGTTTGGGATTAAACTGTGTTTCGTAGCTGCAAAATACTATCAGACAAAAACACGCACTTATACACCCAATGCAACCAA